ATCATACCCAGGATTATTTAAGGTTCCAGATTGTGAGTGCTTCTCCCAAGCCAAGCATTTTCTAAGTACTTGTATGGGAGAAGCACTAGTTTGTTCACATTTTGTAGGCAAGAAAACTGAGAGAGATATACTAATTGGTGTCCAATCACACAGCAGCAAGTCTAGAACATGCAAACATCTACCTCACAGTTTACAAAATGTATTAGCATTGACTCTTATAACGGTTGGGGACAGAGAACTTTAGCTATTAAGTGAGCAATTTTTTAAATGTTTGTTTGAGTGTGTATACATGTGTTATGCAGGTGTATGAACAAGCAGAGACCAGAAGAGGACACCAGGTATTCCCTTTCATCATTCTACACATATCCCTTTGAGTTGAAGTATGGTCTCTCCCTGAACCTGGAGCTTCTGTTTTCTTGGTTAAACTGGAAACCAGGAAGCCACAACAATCTTTCTGTTTCTGCCTCCCTTGGAGCTGCAGTTACCAAAATATTCGAGATGTCCAGCTTGTTTCCTGGGTTCTGGGATCCAAATTCTCCTCCTCGTGATTGCATATCAAATGCTCTCAACCTCTGAACCATCTCTCCAGCCTCATAAATAACATTTTAGAAGCTAAAAAATTATGAGAGAAACAAATAGATGATAGATGACTAGATATGTAGATAATAATTGGTAGGTGTTTCAGACAGATCTTACCTGACTTGCCCAGCCTCCCATAAACTTATATATAGAGGGAGGACTATCATTCAGTAAATATCATTTTAAGAAACTAGAAAATACACACACACACACACACACACACATACACTGTACTACAAAGAGATCCTTACAATCTCCAATTGACAGTGAACATAATACTTGTGAAAAAGATCATCCGTTTTTTGTCTGTAAACTTGAGACTTAGATCAGGAGTTGACGTAACCTATTGCCTGTCTTTATAAATAAAGTTTTATTGAAACACTTCCAGGCCTATTTCTGTATCTCTGGTAGAGCTGAACAGTGATAGATTAGCAAAGCCTACAAAACCTTAAAAAATGTACTCTTTCTTTACAGAAAAGTTCTGTACCCCTGCCTAGAGCAATATTCTGTAAACTTTAATGAACACACAAGCCACTAGGGAACAGTAAACCAGGAACAGTTTCTGATTCAGTAGCTCTTGGCATGGCCTGAGGCTGCAGTTCTGGTGCACTTCCACAGGCTATACCTGCAAATGAGCAAAGGTCACATTCAGAGAGGGATGGGACTAATAGACAGTAACACTCAGACACAGGACAGATGACTATAGGTGTGGATTCAGCAAGACCTATCTGCCTAAAGTTTCCTATCTATTACCTATCTATCTGTCTATCTATCTGTCTGTCTGTCTGTCTGTCTAATGTCATCTATCTGTCATCATCTATCATGTATCTATCTATCATCTATAAGCTATCTATCTACCTACCATCCATACTCCTTCCACAAGAATTTCCAGTGGCCTCTTTTGGCCTATTCTCCATCTCCCATCTAGAACATTCATACTCAGAAAGACATTGCTGTGATTGGAATGTTTGTCCCCACAAAAATTCATATTGAATTTTGTCAATGAGAGGGTGTTTCAGTATCATAAAGAATGGATTAAGGTGCTGATCTCCGGAGTTTCTCCCCTCTTCTGCCACTTCCTCTCTCTCCTCCCTTTGATTCTTCCCCTCCCCCCACCTGTGATGCTGCAGCAAGAAGATGCAGATACACTGATATTGAATTTTACAAGCTTTAAACGGAAAACAAATAATCTCTTTTCATTATAAGTCATCCAGTCTCAAGTATTTTGTTATAGCATCAAACATAAACTAAGGCAGATATGTTTGGGTTCCTGGTATTCCCCCAATAACATAGCAGTAGGGCCTCTCTATTTCTACCCACAGGATAATAGCACTGAAGGGTAGCCAACTACTTTATGTTTTTATGTCCCTTCACTAATGTCAGATTAGGGGTGTTAAGATCAGAGGTGCTAGTATAGCAAGTAACAAGGGTTACCTTTGCTCATTGCTGTGAGAAAACCCCTGACACAGACACTCAAGGAAGGAAGGGTTTGTTTGGGCTTATAGTTTTGAGGGTGTAGCCCATGGTAGCAGGAAACACATGGTGGGTAGGGCAACTGGACATATGGCATCCACAGACAGGAAGCAACGAGACATAAATACTGATGCCAGACTGGCTTCCTCCTCTTCTCCTCTTTTCAGTCTGACATTCCAGGTCATTGGATGCCCACATTCAGGGTGGGTCATCCCTCTTCAGGTAAATGTCTCTGGAAATGCACAGACACACTCAGAAATGTATGTTCTAAGTGGTTCCAAATCCAGTCAAAACTGGATGAAGACTGCTATTCGCACATTAACATTTACATTCACAGTAATGTCAGCTCTCTCATAAGCATGTGCTAAATGCTCACCGCTTCTGAATAAATAGACATGCTTTGGCAGCTGCCCTAATACAATGGTCTGGAGACAACTGGTACCCCCAGACTTTCTACAGAAAGCTGGAGTTGGACCTGAGTCGAGCCTGTATGCTGAGTCATGCCTTGTCAGACATCAGTGCCAGTACCGGTGGGGCAAGGCATGCTGTGTGGGTGGGAGCTAAGTTGTTCCTCACAAGCACAGCAGTCAGGGTTCCAGAGAGAAAATGAGTGACTTGGAAACCAAGTTGACATATTCCCATCTTACTCACTAATGCCAGTTACGTGAAGTGTCAGAGCACCCCGCTGAGCGTTTTGGGGGAGGATAAGGGGCATACAAGATGGAGAGAATGCAGGTGGTGATAAGGTAAGTCTTTCATGAGCTCAAGCTCAATAATAGCAGCTCACACTGTTATTTAGTGAGCACCTTCTACTGGCCAGCATCCATGCTACACTAAATAAACACCTGGCTGTGGTGGGGCACGCCTGCCATCCCTGCACTGGGGAGACTGACACAGAAGGATCTTGAATTCCTGGCCAGGTAGGACTATACAGTGAGGTCTCTCAAAATTCCAAGAAAAAAAATAGTGTGAGCAGAGGAATGAATTTCATTTAATTTCTTGGAGACACATACTATTTATTATTAATTAGATGGAGGGAGAAACCACCTCAGTCAGGCACACCAACTTGCCCGAGAATACACAGAACAGAAGAGAGAACAATTCTTGTTTTCACAAGTAGGAATTCTCAGGCTGTGGACATGGCTCAGTTGATAAATAGCTTGCTACTGAAGCATGAGGACCTGGCTTTGAATCTCCACACCTATGTAAGAAGCTGTGTGGAGCCACACATAGCAGTAATCCCAGAACTGATGAAGGAGGAGCCCTTAAAGCCAGCACAGCAGAATCGATGAGTTCAGGGAGAGACCATCTCTACAAGTAAAATAAGTCTAGAGCCGTTAAAGAAGACATTTGACACCAACCTCAGCCTTCCGCATGCACAGCCCGCGTGAATACACACACATATGCAAAATGAAAAGAAAAACTAGGAAGTCTCCTACATGCAGTGAAATCCTGATAGAAACACCAGAGGGTTTCATGACTTTTAAGAATGAACAACCACACAGGAGAGCTAGGCTCAAAGGACACCATGGTGACATTTGTAACTCATTGTGTGACCCTTCTGGAGATGCCTCCTTTAACTGTGCAAGAGCTTGAAAGACCTTGATGGCCTCAACATCAGACTAGTGGACAGGACCTCAGTACACCTGAGTTCACAGAGCCCTCCTGACCTGAGTGCCCTCCACACCTCTGGGCAGTGACTCTGAGGCAGAAATGGGGGCCCAGTCTCATCCAGCTTTCAGATTTGCAGCAGGAAACAGGAATGGTCCCTTAGGTGAAAACCTCCTGGTCTTTTTATTTGTTTTTGTTTTTTTGTTTTCAAGACTGGGTTTCTCTATGTAGCTTTGGAGCATATCCTGGAACTCACTTTGTAGACCAGACTAGCCTAACACTCTGCCTGCCTCTGCCTCTCGAGTGCTGAGATTAAAGGGGTGCACCACTACCTGGCAAACGTCCTGATTTTTATATCCTAGTATCAATGTGGTATGTATGTGTGCAGCACGTACGTGCGTGCGTGCGTGCGTGCGTGCGTGCGTGTGTGTGTGTGTGTGTGTGTGTTGCTTGGAAGTCAGGAAAACTTGCAAAAGTCAGCTCTTCCTTCCATCATGTGCATCCATGCAAGTCTCAGGTCATCAGGTTTGTTGACATGTGCTGAGCAGCCCTGTTTTTATATTAATTTTAAGACATTATGTGTAATCTATTGAGCCTTGGGCAGTAGATCAGTATTTATCCAGGGTATACAAATGGACTTTGGACTCCCATCCAACAATGTGAGGTGCACTCTCACCCTGAACTCTTGGGGAAGGGTCTAGGACCTGCCCTGGATGAAATGACAGACTATGGACACCCCCATGGAGGGCCTCACCCTCCCTGGGGAAATGAGGAGATATTGGGAGGGTTGGTGGGAGGGCACGGGAGGAGGGGAGGGAAATGGAGAGGGACCTGGAATTGACATGTGAAGCAACCTTGTTTCTAATTTAAATTTAAATTTAAAAAAAGACATTATGTGGACCACACAAATCACCTCTACGGCTGGGGGCCTTCTGTAATCAGCCTCGACTTGTGTTTTCACCTTTTGATAGGTATCCACTCAAGAGGACAGGGATGATTGGTGGCCTAGGACAGGCTGGAACACTGGCCACCTACCTCATGATCCTGTCTCACAGAGGCAGGAACTGAGGCTCAAAGAAGAGGTGACATGGCTGGGAGCTGGGAATTCAAGTGGCTCCGGGGTTCCCACGGCACTGGGGCACTGCTTTGCTCTTAGCTGTCATTCTGCATTGTGTTCAGTGATGCAGAGGAGTAGGGGAGAGACAGGAGAAGGAGGGACTGGGGTCCATCCCATCCGCCTTAGCTGTCGGAGGCCTTGCCTGAACCTAGAAAGCCATCAGGCACCCAAGCTCTGTGGTGCTCTGCTCCAGCCAGAGGCAGTGTCCTCTGGGCTCAGCATGCAGAAGTGGGGACTGCGGGCTGTGGCCTTCCTGGCCCTCCTGTCAGCGTGGGCCTTTCCACACACTGACATCAGTATCTACTCAGGTGAGCACGGGGACCAGGGACAAGGGCACGTTGGGGGAGGTCACTTCCAGGGAGTTGAAGGCTCACTAGTGAGGCCAGCTGCCTGGGCTGCAGGAACGCTGAGGGGGAGCATTGCAGGGCGGGGCTAAGATGTCCTTCCTGATAGCTCAGCCTCAGCCCCTAACAAGGGAGCATCCCAAGACCCTTAAAGTTCAAACCCCAGCTTTATAGTTTACAGGCTGTGTAACCTGGGAGACTGGATTCTTTCTCTCCGTGTGTCTCTCTCCCTCCCTTTCTCCCTCTCCCTCCCTCCTTCCCTCCCTCCCTTTAAATTTTACTTATTCAGTCATTTATTTTTGAGACAGAATCTTGCTATTATCCCAGGCTTGTACTGAAATCTCAATCCTCCTGCTTCCTGCTCCAGAGTGCTGGGGTGGGGGTGGGGGCGGCCATAAGATCACCTCCTCCAGGTTGTGGAGAAACTGCTTAGCACAGTACCAGGTACCACAGGGAAATGGAAAATGGTATTTTTGTTAGAAATCTGATCTCCAGGACCCTCCCCCAACTCCAACTTTGGCAATACCAACCATTCCCGCGGAACTTTCAGATGCAGGTGCTCTGGAAATAGAAGTGTAGGATGGATACAGTTGTCCTTCTACTGATCTCCCTGGCAGTCTGGCTCCAGTGATATCCATCCCTATGTGCTTTGTGGGATGTCCCCAGGAAATAGGACTCATAAACCTCGGGCATGTGACCTCCCTATATACCATTTGTGGGATGAGAGGCAGTCAGTGAGTTTGAATTCTTCCATATTGCAAAGGGGAGGCTGGGGCACTAACACCAGGGAACTGCTCGAAGGCTGGGCAGCATCCTGAACCTCCTTGTGCACATGTGCATGGCTCTTATCTGAAACCTCCACCAAGTTCTTTTCAAGCATTGTTTAAAAGATCCCTTAATGCCAAGAACAGTGGTACGTGTCTGTAAACCCAGCATTCAGGATGCTGAGGCAAGAGGACAGAGAGTTCAAAGCCTGAATGGATTACAAATGAAGTGACAGGCTAGCCTGTGGTAATATGTGATGCTATCTTAAATACATATATACATGTATATGTGTATATATGTGTACACAAACACCACAATTCTGAGGGAAGACTCACTAATTTCCTAACTATATATCCATAGTTCTAAGTATTTTCATCGTAGCTTTATGTAATCTTTTTAAAAACCCTGTGGTGGAGACCAGTTATTTTCATCACCATTTAAATGAAATCTCCATATGGAGATTGTCATAAGGCCAGTTATTTGGCTGTCACAGTGTGGGATGCTCAAAGTTACCAGATAAAATGCCAGTAGACAGATACTAGTAAATCCTTTGTTAGTCTAAGTGTACCTCAACTATTGCATGGACAAACTTATACTAAAATCATATGAAATTCTGATTTCACTAACCACTCTTCTGTTTATTTGCTTGGCAATCCCCTGATAGGAAGGTGGGTAGCCTTGACTCACCTGGCCAAGCTCTGTGTGTATTAGTCAGCTTGGGCTGCCAATGCAGAACCCACAGACGGGGGCCTGAAACTGCAGAAATGTGTCTCTTAGCCTGTGCTGGAAGTGCTTGCTGTATAAGCATAAGGAGTTAAGGTTTATCCCTAAAGCCAAATTAGAAGCCTGGCACTATGGTGTGCCCGTAATCCCAGAGCTGGGGAAACAGAGACAGGAGGATGCCTGGGCCTTGCTGGTCAGCCAGCCCAGCTGAATCAGTGAGCTGTGGTTCTGTGAAAGACCCTGCATCAAAAAACAAAAACAAAAACAAAACAAGATGGAGAGTGAGGGAGGCAGAAACCCAACTTCAATCACATGAACACCTGAATCCACTCGCGCACATATCCACTGCACACATGCTTGAGTACACGTACGCACACACACACACACACACACACACACACACACACACACACACACGCACGCACATGCACACATGCACACCAGAGGTTGGGGTGATAATGAGGTGGCAGTGCTCATAAGGTGCTGGCCCCATGACAAGCATTTGAAAAAAATAGCATTTTTCTTTGAGCACATCTGTCATTGAAGTTGTTGATGCTATGATGCTACAGGCAGGAGAGTTACACTATGACAATCAGGATTCATCAGAGACAGGAACTTCCAGACAGCACCCCTGTCCCATGCACCACCCTCTTTTATAGACAGGGCAAACCAGGATCATGTGAAACCCAGAAATCTTGGGGACCTCTGACTTAGAAATCCATTCTACTCAATCTTTCCCTACCTCAGCAATTGAGAGGGCAGACCGACCGAGGTCTACAGCAGGGTGTGGGGAGGGACTGAAGCTACAGACTGACTGAGCGGAGGGAGTGGGGGACGCACTATACACACTGAGGGTGCGCTGACCGAGGTCTACAGCGGGGAAACTGAGGCTGTAGATTGCTGACCAGGATCATCACTGTTCACACAGCACTTATTGCATTCCCCAGATTCCCCACCCAGACTAGGATTCTAGGAAAATGGTATCAACACAAAGAGACTGACTTGCAAGCATGAAAGCATACATTGCTTGGTGACTTGAGAGGACTTAATAGGGGTTCTGTGGTTCCTTGCAAACCTTGAGGGTGGATGTGCACCCCAAAGTCCTCTTGTGTTGAATGAGCTTGGTTTCCTTCCTCTTCTGAATACCCCTGGTTATTCTATATAAAGCTGTCCAGAGCATCCATCAGCCATTCTCCCACAGCTCCCACTTTTCATTATCCATCCCCTAAGCATGCTGATCTATGCACAGATATGCTCAGCATCAGTCCTGGGCTTTCTTGCAGAAAATATCCTTCATACATACCTGCAGGGATTTAACCAAACTAGACTTTCTCCCAAGTTTTTCCTCTGAAATTGCCTTTGATCTCATTGCTTCTGTGGATTTGAGCGAGTACTTAGAGCTAGCGCCTAATAGCAATAACAAAGATAATTACCATTGGGATTCTTCAGCTATCTCTGGTTCCTTCCCCCAGCTCCTGAACCCAGAACTTTCCATGTGACATCAAGACAAAGTGACTTGAAACTCAGCACCTGCCTCTGAAGGGTCCAGGGTACAGATAGGGGATCAGTCGAGCTATTCCACCTTCTCCTGACCCTCCAGAAACATGGCATTGCATTCTTAGCTTTGGGAAGATTCTGGGGCCCAGACTGCTGCTGCTTCTGCTGTGGTAATACTTGAAGTCTATTAGGACGCTCACTCTGCCTAGGCATCTTTGCAGGGAAGCAAGTACTCAGCCAAGCCGTGTGTGTGTGTGTGTGTGTGTGTGTGTGTGTGTGTGTGTGTGTGTGTGTGTGTAAGGCTGTGTAGGGACCAGAGATTGACATTTGGTGTCTTCCTCAGTTGCTCTCTGCCTATTTATTTATTTGTTTATTTATTTTGAGGCAGGGTCTCCCACTCATCCTGAAGCTCACTGATTCGGTTAGGCTAGTTGGCTAATGAGTTTCAGGGATCTGCCTGTCTCTAACTCCCCAGCAATGAGATGACAGAGTTATATCACTATGCCTGGCTTTTTACATTGGTGCTGGGGATCTGATGAACTCCGGTCCTCATGCTTGCACAGCTGGCACTTCACCCACTGAGTCATCTCCCCAGTCCCACCCATGCGCATTTTCTGGATAAAACTGAGGCTCAAGGAGCAGTTTCCAACCAGGGTCATACAGTGCCAGAGTCCAAGCTCCTCAGCTGAGCCACAGAGGCTCAAGCAACTAGAAGTCCTACCTCCTAGTGTAGACCCAATCCTGGAGCTTGCCTTGACACTCTGGCCATTCCTGCTCCCCCTCTGTAGTCACAGGACACTCTACACTTACTTTGCAATACTCCTTAGCATACAATAACTAATACCATGTGGGAACAGCATGTCACACACTTAGGAACATATAGGAACTCAGTAAATGCTGATTTCTTTCATTAAATCTTGGATAACTTGGTGTCTAACATACTGTGGTCCCTCAGCCATCTGCAGAGGATTGGTTCCAGCATTCCTGTAGATGCCAAAATTCTCCGATGCTGGGTCCCTGCTGTAGAAGGATGCAGTAGCTACATCTAACCAATGTCCATTTCCTGTGTTCTGGGTTACATTGTGTAGAGAAAGATGACACAAAAGAAAAACTGTCTAACCCCCAATTATGGCACTTAGGAATCTTGGACAGAATCTTAAATCCAAGGCCAGCCTGAGCTACAGAGTGAGACCCTATCTGAATGAACCAAAGGTTGGGGGCTTCACAGAATGTTTGCCTAACACTTGTAAATCCCCAGGCATGATTCCCAGCATCCAGAAGTCTATGCTCAGCACAGGTGTGGTGCCTCCGCAGATGCTTTCTCTCTACTATTGGTTAAGTTCATGGACCAGAGCCTGTAGGCGTGAAGTTCAACTGTATTTATTCTACCAATGAGCCATGGAACCATGAGCTTGGAACCACATCTTCCAGCAGCACTAAAGGGCTTAGGAGTTCCAGAGAGTAACAAACCTGGAACAAGTAGCAGCCTCTCCAATCCTTGTCTGCAAAGTATGAGTCTAATATCTCTCCTGGGCTGCCTCTGGGAATCAAGCACTAAGCACCCAGTAAGTGCCTCCTGCTAGGATCAATCTAAGCAATGGTTTGCTCTGGGTCCACCAGAGTGTCTCAGGGAAGAAAAGGCAAAGCTCAAGATGGAAAGAGCAAGACTTGCTTTAAGGACTGCTGTGCATTGAGACCAGAGAGGCAACAGGAGGGTGATAAAGGTGGCCCAGCCCTCTACCCTGCTGGAGTCTGGAAGACACTTCCCTTTAAATCCCAGGAGTGCTGGGGGCCCACTCTGGGGATGGGGAAGGTGAATGTGGCTTCAGGGCCTCCCTACCTCCTCTCCTTGTCTGGTCCAGAGGCTGATCTGGGCAGGAGGAGGAGGCAGGAGAGCAGTGCATCTGCAGGAGGCAGCAGAGAGCAGAGTGTTGCATCTGTGGGCGGCTGGAGGGGGGCCAGGGAAGCTCACAGCCAGATTGAGTGGGAAGGTGACAATTTATTCTTTCAAAGTGGGAGAGCTGGATTCCAAGGATGTGTTTTCATCCCAGAACAAACTCAGCTCCCAAAGGCTTTGACTCCCTCCCCACACACCCCCAGCTGGGAGACCTTGGCTGTTGCTAATTGAGAAAAAGACCAAGCAGTTTGGCTTCTTGGTTTCCTGAGCAACGAGCCTCCTCCTCCTGTCCTGTAGTCCTGTATCTCCGGTCTGCCTCTCTCCCTCTATCCCCCACAGCTCCCTCCAGCCTCACCTTGGATTCCTTCTCAGATTCTTAGGCCTGTTGGACCACTCCCATTACACACACACACACACACACCAGCCTCTGCTTGCGCCATGCCCTCTCCTTGCTCCATGACTGCTGCCCGGAGCACTCTCTGACTCTTAACATCATCCAGGCCTCTGCTGATTCATTAACTGTTACAGGAAGCCCCTCAGATCTTCGAGTCCGGCCTGTGTTCTGTGTTTAAATGCTTTAGGAGCAGTCCTTGCCATTACCCATCTGGGGGCCCCTTTTGGTGCTCTACCCTAACTACTTGTAAGGTCCTTTCTGACAAGGACCAGAGAGCCATTAATTCTTTCCCTCAAAGAGGTAAACAAATAATAAGTTTCCAATTTTGCCTGCAAGCCTCACATCCACAAGTTAAATATTAATGCTATCATTATTTCTGTGCTCGCTCTCTGTGTATGTGTGTGTGTCTAAAAAAAATATCTTGGGCGCCATGGGCTACCTCTGAGCAATACTGTGACCTTTAACAAGGTCATCTACCTCTGTGTGTTCTGAGTGTCTTTGTAAAGTAGCAGTGACTGTAGTACATACCTGGTAGGATGTGAAGATTAAAATAATACTACGTTCAAAGAACGCAGCACAGTGCCCAACACACAGTAAGTGGTCAGTAAGTTTGGTTCTGGTTTTCGCATTACCATCATTTTCTGAAGGTCAATGTGCAAATCCAAAGGCATGCCCGTGAAGACAAATAGGCCAGCAAAGGCTCGTGAGAGGTCCAGTTGATGAAAACCCTTCTAACCCCAGCTTCTAAGCTCCAGAGGCAAAGGGAGAGGGGAAACACCGGACAGCTGGGGTTCATTCTGTTGCCTCCCAACCCTCCAATTAATGGTTTTTTCTTGCCTGGATGGAAGGAGAGAAATTGGGCAGTGACCTGCCACAGCCCCATTTTCTGGTTTATTTCAACCCAGGCATGCAGAAATTCCTTTTTCCTTAGTGGGGGGAAGCAACCTCAAAGGGACCAGATTGGGAAGATGCAAAGTAGTTCCGGAAGTATTTTCTACCTTGGGGAAGAAGGCTTTGAGACCAAGGGCTTTTACCTCCTCCTCTTCCCACCCAGCCACCTTTCATTTAATTAATTATTAATTCTTTGCCAAGCTCTGTCCAAGGCAGGAAGAAAGGAGAGAAGGACAAGAAGAATGAAGAAAAAGAGAGAAGAAAGGGAGAGAGGGAAAGGGAGAGGAAAAGAGGGGAAGGAGGGGGGACAGGAAAAGGAAGTTCCTTCTCCAGGTGTCATCTTCCTACTTTCAGACCAGCAGTTCCCAGATTTCAAGCATGGGTAATTGAGAAAGTATTCCCAAGAGTCTGTATGGCCAGTGAGAGTCCAGGCCATGGCACAGTGCTCAGCACATGATAGAACAGAGTAATCTGGAAAACTCAGATCAGGCTAGAAGGTTCAGTGCTGTTTTGTTTGTTTGTTAATTTATTATGTGCACAGCCTTCTGCCTGCATGTATCTATGCAAGCCAGAAGAGGGCATCAGATCTCATTACAGATGGTTGTTGGGAATTGAACTCAGGACCTCTGGAAGACCAGCTAGTGTTCTTATCAACTGAGCCATCTCTCCAGCCCTTCAGTGCCATTTTAATACATTGCTACATGCTTGTATTCATTCAAAACCTGGACTAAAGAGATGGCTCCGAAGTTAAGCTTAGGGCTCTTTCAGAGGACCCAAGTTCAGTTCTCACCTCAGCAAACACATCAGGTGGCTCACAACTGCTTGTAACTCTAGTTCTAGGGGATTCAATGCCTTTTTCTGGCTTCCAAGGACACTGCACTCATATGCATGCAACCCATAGTTAATATAAAAATGCTTAAATCTAAGTCCTAAGAACTCCTGTGTGCCAAGATGCTGGGAAAAGATAAATACTTGCAGTTATTAACCAAACAGGGGCGGCATTGGACAAGAATCCTGAGTGCATATGGGAGTCAGGGTGCATAAGCACTTCCAAAGATTCCCATCTGATTGGTCTTATGTCAGCTTGACACACTAACTAGAGTTGTCTGAAAGGAGGGAACCTCAGTTGAGAAAAATGCCTCCATAAGATCTGGTTGTAAGGCATTTTCTTATCTAATGGTTGATGCAGGAGGGCCCAGTCCATGGTGGGTGCTGTCATGCCTGAGCTGTTGGCCCTGGATTCTATAAGACAGCAGGCTGAGAAAGTCATGGGGAGCAAGCCAGTAAGCAGCACCCTCCATGGCCTCTGCATCAGCTCCTGCCTCCAGGATCCCATGCCGTTTGAGTTCCTGTCCTGACTTCCTTTGGTGATGAGCAGCAATGTGGAAGAGTAAGCCAAATAAGCCCTTTCCTCCCCAACTAGCTTTTGATCATGGTGTTTCATCACAACAATAGAAGCCCTGATTGAAACAGTACCCAGAGCCTCCTTGCAGTTGAGACTAGAAGAGAAACAGGAGTTAGCCAGAGTCAGGGCAAGAGACATGCCCACAGAGGTCTGACTAGGTATTTGAGGATGGTAGGATGTGAGTCGACCTGAGAGCAGAGGGCATGAGCTCTGGGGATCTGCCATGAAGCATCCTCAGCCTGCTGATGCCCCCTGAGGAAGCAGTATGCGATGCTGCAAAGGAAGTCTTTGGAATCTGTAGGTCTCTACCAATTTCTTGCCAGGCTGATCTTACTGAAGCCTCAGTTTCTCTCTGTTTGGCACTTCAGAAATGCTCCATGGGGTCTAGGGAGATGGCTCAGGCTGTAAATGATTACTTGACAGCAAGAGGATCTGAGTTCAATCACGCCAGAGACCACATTTAAACAAACAGATGTAGTAGCTGTACTTGTAATCCCAGCACTGGGGAGGCAGGGGCAGGGGCATCCCTAGGGCTCACTGACCAACCAGCCCAGCCTAACTGGCAAGATTCAGACCAATGAGAGACTGTCTCAAAGGAAGTGAATGGCGTTCCTGAGGACCACACCTGAAGTTGTCCTCTGACCTCCATATGGATGTGCACCTATGTATACACACAAATAAACAAATAAATGCTCTGTGAATGCTGTTGCTCTATGAATGTGTGAAAAAAAGAGTTGTTATTCTCCACTTTGTGCTTTGTTGGGGGGCAGTGACAGGATCTCTTTCTTATGTAGCCCTGGCTGGCTTGGAACTCACTATGTAGACCAGACAAGCTATGAACCCATAGAGATTCATCTGCCTCTGCCTCCTGAGTTTTGTGATTAAAGGTATGTGCCACAATGCCAGGTCCTTTTGGAGGTGGGGTCCCTCACTAATCCTGAAGCTTCACCTATGCAGCTAGACTGGCTAGCCAGCAAGCTCCAGGGATCTGCCTGTCTCTACACGCTCACCCCAACACTGGGATTACAAACATGGATCACCAAGCTGAGCTTTTTCTGTGGCTGCTGGGGCTCTGAACTTGGGTCCTCATGGTTGCACAGAGAGCACTTTACCCACTGATCCATCTCCCCAGCCCCCATTCACTATGTTATGATTCTCAGAGTCAGTCGGCCATGGTCTGGGTTGCTACAAAAGAGACCCCAGGTGTCTGCAGGCATCTGAGAAAGAGGAGATTGTGCCCATGATTCACAGCAGGTCAGACACAGAGCTGACCAGTACACAGGTGTCTGGGGAGTGCTGCTCAGTGGCCAGTATGTAGGCATCCAGAGACCTGCTGCTCACTGCATGGGTCTCCCAGCCTAGTGGACGGAAGGTTCTCAATTGTCTCCCTCTCCCAACAGCCACCTTCTGTTTCCAAGAACAACACCCCCAAGAAGTTTAAAGAGGAACCAAGACTTGAGAGAACTTTATCATCTCAAGCACCATAACCTTGTTGTTTTCAATGTGTTACTTTTCACAATTAACAACGGATTCTGACCCCAGCAATGTCATGGGCAAAAGATAAAAAGCCCTGCGTCTAACTTGTCAGTAAATGCACACACTTGCCAGATAGCCTGGAATTGTAAATTGAAACAAGGTACAATTTCTTGCTTATAAAATTTGCAAAGATTCCCAAGGAAATGATGGCAGTAAAGACTAGCAAGGGCAGAGTGAGATGAGTCCCCTCAGCCATGACAGTGAGAGGGGAAATTGCTTTCAGGAGACAATTTAGAAATTGTATCAAAGCCATCCGGTACTCTCCTCAGAAAACCACCAAAAACACTGACAAACCTTGTTGCATAAAAACCGTTGTCTCTGTATTGTCCTTAGTAGGTTTTTATTTAGAAAGGGGGAGAAAGGGAGGGAGGGAGGGAGGGAGGGAGGGAGGGAGGGAGGGAGGGAGGGAGGGAGGGAGGGAGGGAGGGAGGGAGGGAGGAATCTCATTATCCAAAAATAAGGTAGTTACTAAAGTCTAGGAAGGCTACTTAGGGGCTATTCAAGAGCTGTTTAAAACAATCTTAATAAGGGCTGCAAAAGTGACTAAGCAGTTAAGAGATCTGTCCCAGCACCCACATGCTGGCTCACAACCACCTGTAATTACAACACCAGGGGAGCCAGTGCCCCCTTCTGGCTCAGTGGGCATTGTCATACTTGTGGCACCTACACAGGCACAGCATATACATACGCATAATGCATAAATATTTAAAATAGCCCCCTTTTCTGGTTTTCGTTTGTTTGAAACAGGCTCTTTCTATGTAGCCTTGGGGTGTGCCTGTATTTTTAGACTTCAGGCACGGAACTGTGTTAATCACGATGGACGTGTTTTCCTCTTAAAAGTGTATAATAAGCGGCAGAGACAGTGTGAGCACCACCAGTCTTCCTCCTGCTCCGTTTTCTCTCTATCCCCAGTCCTGTCAGAGGTGCCCCAGATGACCCTGCTATGTCCCCTGTTCTGGACAGAGTTCAAAGGTCACTGCTACAGATTCTTCCCCATCAACAAGACCTGGGCCGAGGCTGACCTGCACTGCTCTCAGTTCACTGTTGGTAGGAAATCTGCCAAGCTGGCCTCTATTCACAGGTGAGTGAACTACTCAGGCCTCTGTGGCCTAGCCAAGTGTCCTTTGGGGACAGGATTTGGAGTCTGGTGTCTCCAGCTGGTCTCTGGCTCAGGTCGTGGAAACAACTTTTTACCCAGCACAATTTCTCACTGAAGTTATCCTGGGTGAAACAGAGGGCAAATAACTCAGTGGTGGCAACAGAGAGCATGCTGGGAGAATCAACTTTATAATGGCCAGTTTTGTGCCATGAACTGCAGGGCATGAGAGCCCTGGATCCAGTGACACGGCTGACCTAATAAACACGTGTGGAAGAGGAATAGGTGGGACAGCAAGATGGCTTGGTAGGCAAAAGCACCAGCTATGCAAGCCTGACGACTGCAGTTTGATCCTCAGAAACTAGGCGGGATGGGGCGGGGAGGGGAGGGCAGATACATCTGCATCTGACACATCTGTATCCAGGACTTCTTGCATGAGGTAGGTAGAGACAGAGTTTCCTGGAAGCTTGCAGGTTGGCTCCCTGGAGTTAGCAACAAGGCAGAAGCCAGAGAGGCCTTTCCTCAACAAGGTGGAAGTCGCAAGCACCTCCTCTCCAGGTGAGACACACCCCATGGTGGATACTCACACAGAATGGGAGCCCCTCCAAATGCATTTGGAACAAGCTCATGGGGGCTGGTAGACCTTTGGTCCAGGACTAGTGTAAAGACTTCCCTGATGCACTGAAGTTCACCTCTTACCCATGATGGAAAATGCTTGGCAGGGGGATCTGTCCATCTGGTCGTGTGACCAACTGAGTCACCTGTGCTGCCGTTTGTCTGTTGCCCTCACATCCTTCCTCTGCCCTCCTGACTTCAGTTGGTGGCTTTTTCTGGGCTCACTGATAATAAGGCACTAGGTGAGCCATGCTTTGGGTGAGCAGTTACCTTGACTTTCTTCAAGAAAGTTTGCAAACAGGAAGGACAGAGCAAAGACTGGGGCCTTCTCCACACATCTTCTTCCTTCTGCCAGGAAGAAAAGCGCTTCCCAGACACTCCCTGGAAGTTGTGCCTTCCAGTTAGGTATTTGAGCTGGGACCTTTGGCAGTGCTAACTTTAAAGGTAACTGGAGAAAGAAATATGCCTTCCTAGGCTCTTACATTTACAGTAGTAAGATGAAATCATCTTATGGGAATGGCTTTGGTGCAGACAGCAAGTCGCATCTGCTCCAAGTCTAGCTTGCTGTAAGGATGAAATGAATCCATGGCTATATAACATGAAACACATTCCTAACATAAATGAGTACTTGTAATCTGTGAGCCTGTCTTACTATGCCTATCCATTCATCCTTTCCTCCCTATGTTCCTCTATTTTTCTATCCATTCATCATCCATCCTTCAGCTATTATCCATCCATTTATCCATTCCTACATCCTTCCATCTATTCACCCATCTCTTTGTCCTTCCATTCATTCATCTCTATTTCTTCATTGCTTTAGACAATGGGTAAACACCAGGATCCCCCCACTGGTTTCTTTGTTGATAAGTTTTTTAAATCAAGGCTGGAACTCCCCCAAAAAGACTCTGATTGGACTAAGCAACTTCAAGCCTAGAGCTGAATTTCCCAGAAAAAAAAAGAGAGACAGACAGAAAATATTTTAGTGGTGCTATGTGAGAAAAAAAATTAGGCAAGGGGAAGCTGTGTAAGGACTGCCAGTGCAAGTTGGGTCTCGGAGAGAAAACAAAAGTTGGTGTTAGAAATCTCATTTAGTCATTCAGTATACACAATACAATGTGTGGTATTTTCATTGTTCTTTTTATCTTCAATATAACACACATCATTTGTAGTGTATTTGAAGTGGTAGTTAGTATTGTGCTGAGTCTTTCTCTAAGCTGGCATGGATGGCCATATAGAGTTGACCTAATTAAGAATGATTGGAGGACTAGAGAGATGGCTCAGTTGTTAAGAGCACTCACTCCACAATTGGGAAGATCAGAGTTCAGATCCCAGCATCTACATAACATGTCAAGTGCCTCAACAAATGCCTCTAGCCCCAGTTCCAGGAATGGTAAGACAGAATGATTGCTGGCACTTGTTGGCTTCCAGCCTAGCCATGAAAGCACAAGTCCCGGGTTCATGGATAGACTGTCTCAAAGGAGTATCACTCAGAGAGTGGTGGAGGGAGACTCTCTCTGGCTGCTGCACCTATAAACAAGTGTGCATACCCATACACACATGTGCATACACTCAGGCAGACACACACAATAAAACATAACAGTTAGTTAATTAACTGAAGTCTGAAGAGAACAGAAAAGGAAAGCAGAGTTACACCCTGTCCTCTTTTTTTACTTAGCCCAGAAACAATAACAAGTGTGCTTTAGACTCCATCCTATGGAAAGGAGCAGTGGTAACTCCTGCTGTGTTTCCTGCATCCACAGCTGGGATGAGAACATCTTTGTGTATGACCTGGTGAACAGCTGTGCTCCTGACATCCCTGCTGACATTTGGATGGGCCTTCATGACCACAGGCAGGTGAGCTGAGGAAGCCACAGCTACCAGATCCCATGCAGAAACTCAAGCCAAGACTCCACTTTCATTTAGCAAGGCTAGGTCACAGCTATGCACCCAGCACATAGACACCTACCTGCCTAGTCAACCATGGAAGAGAATGAGACACTGACCTGTCCCAGTTAGTCCTGAAAGTGGGTGTGACAATGACCTGTCCCAGTTAGTCCTAGAAGTGGGTGTGACCAAAACATAGAGGATAATAAAAAAAAAGGCCTTTGTTTTGACTTGGATTCTCTGAAACAAGATACATGAGGGTCTTTTTTTTTCTTACCCCTTCAGCATCACTGAACCCAAGGCTCGACACACTGTAGATAAGCAAGAACTTAATCACTGAGCGACAGCCCCAGCCCAGTGTTTCTTTGGAGATGAAGTGTCTTTTGGTTGCCTGGGCTCACCCTGAGCTCATTCTTTATTGTGGAAGACCCTAGGTTAAGTCCCTAGAACCTGAAACAAATAAACGAACAAAAACTAGGAACTAGTAATATGGACTTGAGAGAGAGTGATAGAGCCCACAGAAGCCCCGGATTCCATCCCCAGCACCATAAAACTAATGACTAAATGAACATGTAATAAAACAAATGTTGCCTATTAAAGCAGCAGCATTAAAATTAGTCTAGACATCATGCCAGCCCCTTACCTCTGTTCCAGTGTCCTCCTTTTAATAAGGACTTCTAAAGGGGGAAGAAGTGAAATGGTATGGGAATTTCTGCTGAAGGAACCACTGTGTGCCAACTAAAGTGTGCAACTAAAACTCTTGCTTAGTTTTAACTATATTTTAGAGTATTTCCCAGAGACTTGGGAGGTTTTTTTAATTAAAATCATCCTAACCAATAAAAATAAATGAAATAGGATTAGAACAACATTAATTATAATTTAAAGAGTATGTATTATAGTCTGGCAGTAGTGGCATACACCTTTAATCCAAGCACTTGGGAAAGCAGAGGCAGGCAGACCTCTATGAGGCCAGCCTGGTCATAGAGTGAGTTCCAGGACAGCCAAGGCTACACAGAGAAACCCTGTCTCAGGAAAAAGAAAAGAGGAAGGGGGAGGAAGAAAGAAGGAGAGAGAGAGAGAGAGAGAGAGAGAGAGAGAGAGAGAGAGAGAGAGAGAGAGAGAGAAAGAAAGAGAAAAGACTTTGAAAGTCACTCAACCCTCAAACCTCTCCAGGATATTCACCCTGCTGTATTGAATGGGAAACTAAGTCTCAGAAAGGTTGAGTAATGTGCCCAAGTCACACGGCAAGGAAGGTGAATAGAGGGGAGATCTTGAGCTCCGACCGCCCCCTCTCTACTATCCCACTGTATAGAAAGGGCTTCAGAATCATTCATGCTTCAAGAGGTACTTTTCTAAAGACCAGAAGAGATGGCACCATTGCTGCTGGTGTCATTCTTTCTGCAGTTGGTTTGCACAAACACTGCAGCACCCATCAGATTTCCAGCAGGACATCTCTTGCAATAGGACGGCGTAATTCCAGACCAGGAAAGAAAAGCATGGACATTTGAATAAAAGGAAGTGAGAAAGAGTAAGTCTCACTGACTGAGAAAGGACAGTGCTTAGGTGTTGGGTACTGGAGTCAAGACATCCTGGGCTTGGGTACCAACACTGATGGATCTGGGCCAACTATCCATGTGCCAGTTTTCTGAGGACGACATTCCCTGCAGTGCAGAGTAGTAGGACAAAGAAAGTCAAGTTCACATGCTAACGGCCAAACAGGGTATCTGTGAAGAGCAGTACTGACAGTGATAGTATGCAGACAATCATGTCTTTCCCATATGCCAGTTGCCAAATAACCGACATGGAGACTTAAAATTAATTACAAATGCTTAGCCAATATCTCAGGCTTGTAAATAGCTAACTCTTACATTTAAATTAATCCATATTTTTATCTATGCTTTACCATGTGGCTTGGTACCTTTTTTTTCAGTATGGCATGCCCATTTTGCTTCTCTGAATCTGCTTGGGACTCCAGACTCCACCCTTCTCCTTTCCAGCATTCTTTAGTTTGGCTCTCCTGACTAACTTTATCCTATTCAGCTATTGGCCAGCCAGATTCTCTGTGAAACCAATCACTGCAACATATATTCACACACTGTATAGGAATATCCCACAATAGTACACATTACAAGTAAGAGCTTTGATGCAAGGTGGCAGGAATGAAATACTATAACGTTGTACCTACATTGGAGCTGACCCAGTATTTGGTCTTCCTCTCTACTTCCTTGCTTCTGAGTGGACTCCAGGAAGGGCAGTTTGAATGGACGGATGGCTCTCCTTATGACTACAGTTACTGGGACAGGAACCAGCCTGGTGACGGCATCCATACAGACTCAGAGGAAGACTGTGTGCAGATGTGGTACCGGCCAAGTAGTGGTAGGTACCCTGGGACCTGAACTCTCACAGAGATTCTGGAGAGACACCATGAAGGATGGGGGGACACAATGAGGAGTGGAGTCACCATGAGAGATGGGGAGGCATCAAGGAGCGTGGAGAGGCACCATGGGGAAAGTAGGGGCATGGTGAGATTAAGAGACGGTCTTTTTTCAGCACCGTGGAAAGCAGCTAGAGTCCCTGGGGATGGAATACTGTCTAGGGTAGAAGTGTTTCAAGTGATCTTTAATGATTTTCTGACATTCGGGCTCTAAATGGATGAAAAGGCATTAGAGAATTAGTGTGGGTAGCAGAGATTTCATTAAGTTCTTTGATGTGCATAGTGCAGCCTATATCCATTTTTTAAATTTTTTTGCATTGAGAGTTAGTCTCCTGGGTCAGCTCAGCAGGGCACTAAAGTCCAAACCCCAAGCCCAGGCTGGTACTTGTGCATGTTAGAATATAGTTGTGTGAGCACATACCTGGCTTTGAATTCCAGCCCCATTGCTTTATAGCTATGCCCTTGTAGAGAGTAAGTCACCCTCTCTGAGAGTCTGTTTCCTGTCCTGGATAATGGGCTTAATATTCACCCCTACGTAAAGACTGCTGAGATAACTAAGGGACAGCTGGCAGAGCACAGTGATAGCAACATGAGCTCGAGTTATCGTCTGAACGCACATTCTATGCTCTATCAGCTGTGAAGTCAAGGTGAATCCAGGCTCCAGGGAGTTGAGCAACTTCTTCAAGGTCACAGAGCAGACAATAAATGAAGCCAGGTTTGAAACATGCACAGAATCCCAGACCAAGCATCTCTCTGCTCTTCTCTATTCCTTCCCTCTCCCCTGAGGAACGGTGGGAGATAAAAATGACTTATCCTAGGGACCATCCTGCAGTCCAACATGCAAAGCTGGAGCGGTCTCTAAGTGAAGTTTGCCCTCCCCAGACCAGTGTCAGATGAAACCCAGATGAAGATCAGAGAGCTGTCTTGGCAAGCTGGAGAGGACTTTTACTCCAGAGAAGTGGTGCAGGGACTTTAACTGCAGTAGGTGAATCTTCACCCAGACTCTCTGCTTCTTCTGTTCACAGCACGGAGGTCCTGGAATGATAACACCTGCCACAGGAAGTTCCCCTTTGTCTGCAAGATCCCATCTCTGAGCATTCACTAATGCACTCCTGTGCCCCCCACCACACACACACCACATGGACTCGGCACCAGGAGGTCTTGCAGTGGTGTCTAGAACAGAACTCACGCTAAACACACAGAAAGGAAATCCTCCAGGCAGAGATTCTCAAAACACTGGTCTCATTATTCAGTGGCCAAGAGACAGTGGACCAACTCACACAGGTTCCAGCATCCTGGACGGAACTGAATTTTGCCATTCTGGTCAGGTCTCCAGTTCATGCTTGAAGCGGTCACTTTCACACTGGTTAACTGGTTAGCCCTGATGTGATGTGCACCACTGAGGAAGAGTGGAGTGGGAGTTGAGACCCTCCGTGGGACTCTGAGGAATGAAAATAAGCTGTTGGCCAGTGGGTGTGAGCTTCAGTTCTGATCTGAAGAGTTGGGTTTAATTGCAAAGTGTGGAAACAAAAGAACTGGATTCAGTTCTAAGTTGCACCCTTAATACATGACCCCAGATAAGTTACTTCTCTTCTGAGAACCTTGGTCTGTACAGTGAGTAGAAAAGAAATACATTAAAATGTCTAAGGAATGTCAGTTTCAAAGGGCCTGATGTGTCGGAAGACTTCAGTGTGTGGAAGATGTTACTATTACTAATGCCAGTTATGGGGCTTTACTACTCAGATCTCCTGGCCAGAAAAGTGGGTTACATTCAACACACATCAGAGGATTCAAGGAGGCAAAGTTGTGTCCATAAACTTTTTCAATGAAGGATCATAAGCAGATATTTGAGATTCATGTACCCTCAGCAACTGTGAAACTCTGCCATTGTTTTATAGCCGCTGTGGGTTCGGGACTATTGTCTAAAAATCCAAACCTTGTAGAAGGGTCATGTTACTGTTCTGTTGCTGTGACAAACACCAGAAACAAAAGCTGCACAGGGAGGGTTTATTTCATCTTACACTTTACAGTTCATCACTGAAGGGATTCGAGGCAGGTGCCTGAAGCAGAAACCACAGAGGAATGCTGCTTATGGGCTTGCTCCCCTGACTTGCTCAGCCTGCTTTCTTATACAGCCCAGGCTCACCGCCTAGAAATGGCACCTATTACAGCGAGCTGGGCCCTCTTCCATTGATTGTTAATCAAGAAAATGCCTGTGTCAGGTGGTGTGGTAGTGCACGCCTTTAATCCCAGCACTTAGGAGGCAGAGGCAGGTGGATCTCTGTGAGTTCAAAGCCAGCCTGGTCTACAGAGAGCATTCTAGGACAGTACTACACAGAGAAACCCTTTCTCAAAAAACCAAGAAGAGGGAGGTGATGCATCCCAGACATGGCCAAGGGCCTATCTGATTAAGGTAACTCTTCAGTTGAGGTTCCCTCTTCCTAAACGTCTCCAGATTTGTGTCACGTTGACGGCTAGAGGTAACCATGACAACGTGTCATGTAATATTATCTTTGCACCCCTTTTTCCAATTACATAAATTTTATTTTTAACTCTCACATTGCATAAGACAAGCATCAAATGAAATGGGGCTGCAGTGTGCTGGCCCCTGTGGGAGGGAAGACAGGAGCAGCAAGGACTGTACGGGAATAAGGTTCGGGAGTCCAGGGTTCCAAGCAGAGCACTGTACCTCTCTTGGCAAGTTATCTCAGTTGCTTCTTTTCTGTTACTGTGATAAAATTCCCTGACAAAAGCAAGCCAAGTAAGGAAAGGTGTATTCTGCCTCACAGTTCACAGCTGAGTCAGGACGCCAGTGCAGATGTCTGCAGTTATCAGAGATGAAAGCTCCTGTGTAGATCTTACAGTCAGTCTTAGGTGGGAATAAATGCAATTCTGAACAGAGTCATGGGAAAGAGTTGTCTAAAGGAGGTGTTTTTCAAGGGATGAGCAGGGTTAGAGGATAGCTGGAGGTTAGCAAATGATCTCAGAAACGCATCTAGGCTTGAGTGGGTAAGAACAGAGATGGTGCCATGGGAAGTTAGAGCTGTCACTGTAGGAAAGGGTCCTCCCCAAAATGGCTACTGGAAAGCCCTGACCGGGAGTGGGGGCTAGAGACACCCAGCATCTCCATCCTTTCCACCAGTTTCCTCTGTTGCCAGTGTGAGATGGATCCAACTATAAGCCAAGTGATAGGAAAATGCCTAGATACCATGTAGACCATGCTGATAGCCTTGGAAGCTGCAGAGAGGCCTGGGGGAGTTCATACTTTAGGGAACATCAAATAAATGACCTTGTCCCATGCATCAGGGTTCTGACTTTGGCACAACCAGCTACCTTGGAAGTTCTGTCCCAGTGAGTCCTGGCGAGGTTTGCCCCTGGGCCACAGCCAATGAGAATTTCTTGGCCTGCAGCCACAGTGTCTTTATGACTTTCATCCAGAGGTGCCTCAAACCTGTTCTGGCTGTTGACTCTTTTTGTAGGACCAAAGCCTTTTGTGTATAGATGTTCAGTCCTGTTAACCACACAGCTGCTGTCTGCTCCTGTTACACAGCTCCCTCTGATACAGCAGGACAGAAACTGTACTTACTATAAAGATTGACTTCTCACTCAATCCCACAAGGTAACTAAATACCAGATATAAAGCCAGGCATCTCTGCCTTGTTTGCATCTATCTCCTTAACACTGAGTGACATGCTTAACCTATGCAAGCACAATTCATCACTTTCTAGATAGGTGTGCATGTAGGAGCAGGGAAAGGTCAATGTCAGGGGTCTTTTCTTGATCAAGTTCCACCTTTACTTTCTGAAACAGGGTCTCTAGCTGAGTCTGAACCCCATCCATTCAGCTAAGTTGGCTGGTAAATGAGCTTCAGAGATATGCTTGCCTCCACCCACCCGTCCAACCCCTCAACCCCCAGCACTGGAGTTACAGACCCACTGCCACATCTGGAGTTTTATACGCGTTCTAGAGATCTGAACCCAGTTCCTCATGTCTGTAAGGCAGGTACTGACCGAGCCATTCCCCAGACCACTTACTATCAACTTTTTACAGCATTCTATTCCAAGCCTGCAAAAGACATGTAAAACTCTGCAGGCCTTGGCCTTGGAATCCACTAACAACAGAGCCTCTCAGACCTTCCCCTCCACTGAAATGAGGGTAACTGTCTATAAAAGCAAAGCTGTACCCTGGAGAAGGGGGTGTCACCCATGGTCACCAGGTTGCTCCTCGCAAGCAATGAGGTCTTCTTTGGACCATCCAGCAGAACCAGAGCTGGGCAAGAACATCCAGACCACACCTTGACCAGGTCAGCTTAATTATGTTCAGCTCTTGTCCCCTGGTGCAATTCTCCCTCTGTTTAAACTTAAAGCTCTCATCCATGCCCTGAAGATGGACTTGGGGGATCACTGGACTCCTCTTCATTTTCATCTTTCATTGTGAACATTGATTAAATCTCTCCTGCCTCTGCTTCTCACTATTACTCACCTCTTTGATTGGCATATTGGAATGGCTAGCCAAGCCTAGTCCCTGGGACTCCCAAAGCTGGTAACTTTGCCCTAAAACTGGTTCTTCTAGAGCACAGAATATTCTCCTCTGCCTGGTACATCCCTTTCCCAGTGCCTGTCAAAGTTTTTTGTTTCATTTTATTAATGTGTGTGTGTGTGTGTGTGTGTGTGTGTGTGTGTGTGTGTGTGTGTGTGAGAGGGGGGGGCATGTGAGGAGTATGCATGTCAGAAAGCAACTCTATGGAGTCAGATTTCTCTTCCACCTTTATAAGGGCTCTGGGGATCATACTCAGGTAGTCAGGCTTCTGTGGCAAACACATTGCCTGCTGAGCCATCTTGGTGGTGTCCCTATCCAACTTGTTTTTTGTTTTTTGTTTTGTTTGGTTTGGTTTGGTTTGGTTTGGTTTGGTTTGGTTTGGTTTTCCAGACAGAATTTCTCTGTATTGTTTTGGAGGCTGTCCCGGAACTCACTCTGTAGACCAGGCTGGCCTCGAACTCACAGAGATCTGCCTGCCTCTGCCTCCCGAGTACTGGGATTAAAGGCGTGTGACACCAACGCCCGGCCCCTATCCAAGTTTTAACAAGTGGAACTCAGCTTCTTCCAGGGGCCATCTGTATTTCACTTCTGCTACAGCAAGATGAGCAGCTGGGAAGCCAATGTCCTGCTTACCTGCCCCAGCTTGTCCTCTGCGTCTGTAGCTTGTTCCTGGGATCACAAGTAGAGTCAGGCATCCGTGGGAGGAGCTGCCGAGATATTTTGGAGTCCAGGTTGCTTATCAGGAATTAATGCCCGTGAAAGAAAAGCAAGGAAAGGCTGGAGATTTGTTGTTCCCTAAAACATTCTCAGCCAACCCAGGAATGAGATGTGTGGTCAACAGACTGTCAGGGGAGACATGCCTTTCACCTGTACTCTCTGTCTTCACAGTAGACTTACCTAGCTCAGAGGTTTCTTTAGGTAAGGCAACAGTGGATGAGCCTGAAGTCTCTGACAGCTGGAGATGACCCTCTGCCTCCTCCTCAAGGGAGGACCTATGTGGCACCTCCACAATACAACACAGAGAATCAGATGGGGGTGTAGACCCCCACTGCTGTCATTGACTGTGATCTCATGGGAGTGACATCACTTCTCTGTCCCATTTGTTGGCAAAATGGAGACAGGGGCCCTTCTAGCTTCGACATTGACTTCAGAGAACAAAGAGCTCAACATGGCAGATTGTTTTTCTTTTTTGGTTTTCTGAGACAAGGCTTCTCTGTGTGGCCCTGACTGTCCTGGTACTCATTCTATAGACCAGGCTAGCCTGGAACTTACAGAGATCCACCTGCCTCTGCCTCCTGGGTTCCAGGATTAAAGGCATGTGTCACCATGCCCTATACAACAGATTTTAAAAACAAACCTCCTCTAACCATGACCACCTCTGCTCTTGCATTTAGGGTGGAAATTATCCAAACTGTCCTGTTTTCTTCAGCTAAAGATGCTCCAGGGCCTTGTCATTTTTTGATGACTCCAGGGCATACATTACCAATCTGAGTATTTGTCTCCTATAACATATGAGTGTCTCTATATGATCTGTAAAAAGCCCATGGGGCACACTCTTCCCATAGGACCTTCCCTAGATTGTTATTGTAAGCATACTATACTGAGGAAAGCCAGACAATGATACCTGAGAATAGTCCTTAGGAATGACAGACAGACAGACAGAGGTGGCTGAGATAAGAGTAGAATAGAGACAGAGAACAAAGGCTAGGTGATTAAAAAATAAATGATTGATACCTAGATGCAGTAGAGAGATACTGTGATTGATGAAAGGATGAATGGACTGATGGATGATGGAGGGAGACAGACAGACAGACAGACAGACTGACTGACAGACTGACTGACAGACAGTGGTGGTTTGAAAGAAAATGGTCTCTAAAGGGAGTGGCACTATTAGGAAGTGTTGCTTTGTTGGAGTAGGTGTGGTCTTGTTGGAGGAAGTGTGTCATTATGGAGGCAGACTCAAGTCATACCCAGTGAGACAGGCCATTTCCTGTTGCCTTCAAGTCAAGATGTAAGATTCTCAGCTACTTCTCTAGCGCCATGTCTGACAGCTGCATGGGACCATGCCACACCATGATGATAATGGTCTAAACCTCTGAAAATGTACAC